CAAAGGTATATTTGCTAAGTATAAAATTCAAAGAGGACAGATCTTTTCTTTCAGTCCTTTAATTAGTCTAGTTTCTTACACACTTGGTCCTTTTTTTTCTTTCTAATATGGAATAAGATGCTATTTAATTTTGTTCTTCCATAGCTAATATTTTTATGTATATGCTTTAATGATTTTTTTCTTTACAGTAAGTTTTAGACAATTTCATTTTTGTGTATCTTGGTATGATTGTATTTAAATTTCTTGTGCAAAGGTTCATTTTTCTTGGAATTGCGGGATTATAAGTTGAACTAAATTCAGAAATTTTAAATCTTTAAATATTTAATGCCCACTCCTTTCTACTTTGAGAATTCTAGTTATATGAATATAAGTTTCTTGGTTTTGACACAATGAACTATTATGACTGATCTGTAAATTCTGTCTTCATTTTTATTTTGGACAATTTTTATTGTTATATTCATTTATGTTTGTAAATAATTTATTTTCAATTTGCAATTTATTAAAAAAATTGAAAGAAAAAAAAGATGGAACAAGGAAAAATCTCTACCGCCTGCCAAAAACCAGGCCACTTACATTCATGTTCAAATGCTACTTCTAAACCACTGGACATCAAAATGTCACCTGTGTACATTAGCAGGTCCCTTACCAAACTCTCACTAAGGAATGTCCTGAGTTTTGTTTTACAGAAGAGGTGCCACGAACAAGATCTCAAATTCCCGTCACACCCACCAGACTGGGGAGCTGGAGCCCTGACTGAGGGCATGAAGTACCAGCGGCTCCAGGAGCCGCACACAGTGCCAACCTCGGCCCAGTGGCACTGTGGGCCACAGAACGCCCTGTCAGGAGACATCTCATGCACTGCAGGATGCTCACAGCGGCTGGCCCAGGGCGGCAGCCAAAGCACCCCCACGCCCAAGGGACAAATCACACAGTGAACCACACTGAGCTACGCAGAGCTCTTTGGAACGACATACATAAAAAACAACTACCTTTAGAAATTAAAACGGATAAATTAGACTTCATTAAAATTAAGGACTTCGGTTCATCAGTTAAGATTCCGACACTGACTAGCAAGCTACAAGCAATGAGAAGATGATCCCAAAACCTAGGTCTCATTAAGGACACAGTCCGAGAGGAACACCAAAGCAAAAGCAGGCAGGGAGGCGCCGTGGGCTGCTGCTTGCTGCTCCCGGGCTTTCTCACAGAGCAGCAGAAACATGCTGAAATTACACAGTGGTGATGGTTACACAACACTGAAAGTTATCAGGGTGGCAAATGTCCTTGTTCTGTACACTTC